TGTATGTATGTATGTATGTATGTATGTATGTATGTATGTATGTATGTATGTATGTATGTATGTATGTATTTGCTCCTCTAGTATTGGCTTGATGGTGGTGTATGAATAGCCTGGAACACCTCTGGATAAGTTTGTGGCTGTCCTTGTGGGAGCTTATGGAGAAATGGACCAACTCCAGGACCTTACTCTGCCTCCTATTATACAGTCATTGGTAGATAGACAGATGTCAGTTGCTGTTGATTCCTCAACTCATCCAGAACCTTCTCTCAGCACTAATGAATTAGCCAAGTTCTGTTCTACCAAGTGTAGGCTTTGAGACAGGCTACTGCTAAGGATGTACAGTGTTTACCGTTATATCTTGTTTTGCTATTTCTAGGACGAGGAAGATCAAAATGTGGTGCCAGAAACTACCTCTGAAGGCTTTGCCTTCCAAGTTCAGGATGGAGCTCCCGGCACCTTTAACTTCTAATGTACAGAGGCACAATGTTGTTTCCATGTGCCGTGTTCTTCATAAATTTGTCTTACTGTTTTTCTCTTCTAAGAACTCTTTTTAAATGTGGTTTGTTATTGTAGCACTTTTTACAAAGAAACTATACTTGAACAGTTGTAAACTGTACATACTATATGAAGCTGTCCTCTGAGTTTCTTATTTCTATGTGGAATTTCGTACCCTGCAGTGTCCTGTAAATAAAGATTAAGTTCCACTCTTCTTTACTCTGTGTCTTGCTCGTGGAAATGAAGGGTGACCTAAGTTACTGCAGGGGCTGACCAGAGGTGGCCCTGCTTGCAGACACTTTGTAAAGCCGATGTCACTAAGGATGTGGAGTGCGCCCTCACATCCCCTACAGGACTAGGTAGCCAGCACCACTTGTTCCTGGCTAGCAGATGCTTTCTGAGAAGGCCCACATTCACTCATGAGTCTCTGGAGTCTAAGTGGAATTCACTCCTCAGCTTCCACCTTACTGCATGTTTGCCCCTGGGCAGGTTACCTGAAGTCAGTCAGGAAACCTTTACAGTATGATTTACTGACCATTACTCGAAGCATAAGTATGTTTCTATCAGACAAGAAAAAAAAACCACAATATTAATTTTGAGTCCTTTGCAAGAAGAGTGCCTTATCTTTCTTAGTTGATTTCTCATTTTCTGGGGCGTGGAGAGATGGCTCAGAGGTTAAGAGCACTGGCTGCGCTTCCAGAGGACAATTCCCAGCAATCACATGGTGGCTCAGAACCATATATAATGAGTTCTGGTTCCCTCTTCTGGAGTGCAGATGTACATGCAGACAGAACATTGCATGTATAATAAATCTGCTTACTATGTGAAAAAAATTGTTTTCTGAACCATCTCCCCAGGCTCCCCCTGTGTATGTCTAACTGGAGTTAGAGTTGTAAGCCACCAAACCCAGGTCCTCTGAAGAGCAGCCAGTGCTGAACCATCTCCCCTGGCCTCCTTGTGCTCATGGGAACTGTCTTTGACAGGTTACAGGGCTGAAAGTTCTTTCCAGGTTAGCATGGTTACAGAGCTGGAGGACACAGGCTAATGCTGGAAGCACTGCACAGCCAGGTGCATAAGCTTAGGTACTTGGCTGGAGCCTGGGTCACTAAGCTTGTCCTGTGAGAGGCTGGTGGGTGACATCTGTGAAGACTGCTTTCCTACCTATGCCTGCCCCCTCTCCCTTGTCCCAACTTCCAGAATACTGGGTCCAAAAGTCCTCATCTGGCAAGATATACTTGGGACTAGGTTTTTGCTTTAAGATGGGCAGTTACTGCCTTCAGTGTGAGATCTGGATGTGTTACAGGCAAGACACTATAGAGTGAGGTAATGGACAGAAGATACCTGAGGATTAGGATTAGGGTTACGTTATAGAAGATTGAATTCCTAACGGAGACTTCCTGTGAAGTCCAAAAAACATGTTTAACATCTCTGTGGGGCACATCCTGTGTTAGAATGGTTTTTCCTACCCACTGAGTGTAACTGGAAGCACTCCACAGCCCCTGACTCTCACAGTCAGTTGATGCAGCATTTCTTTGCTACCAATTCCTGTTTTATCCGTGTGTTTGTCTCCGTGTATATCATGTGCACGTATGGTGCTACAGGCCTGAGGAGGTTCTTGGATCCTCTGGAACTGGAGTTGAAAATTAGATTCGCCAGATGTGGGCCCTGGGAATTAACCCTGGTCCTGTGCAAGAAGAGCAAGCGTTCTCAACCATTGAGCCATCTCTCCAGCCCTGGTTTCTTGTATATTTTTTTGTTTGCTTTTTGAAACAGGCTCTGTATGTAGTTGTGGCTGTCTTGGGGCTGGCCTGGTACTTAGATCATTCTGCTTCTGTGTCCCAAGGGTAGGGATTAAAGGTGTGTACATCCATATCTGGCCTTTCTTACAAATCTCTTTTTAAGCTTTGTTTTATGTGTCTGGTGTTTGGCCAGTATGTGTATCTGGGCACCATATATACTGGAGTCACAGAGCGCTGGGAAATAAACCTAGGTCCTCTGCCAGAAAAGCCAGTGTTCTTAGCCACCGAGCCATCTCTCCAGGCCTGTAAATCTTAACCCTTAAGTAAAAAGGATATTGTTCCCAGTACTTGGGAGGCAGAGACAGGTAGATTTCTGAGTTGCAGGCCAGGCAGAGTTACATGGTGTCTCGAAACAAACCAACAGGCTGGGATGTAGCCCAGTTGACTAGTGTGGATAAAGCCCTGGGTTTGATTACCAGTAGGTCTTGTGGTTATCCTGGTGTGATTTTCTGTTGCTGGGATAAAATACCGTGACCAAAGATTTATTAAGCTCAGAGGTTACCGGGAAGCCAGGCTACGAATCTTGAGACAGAACCCGAAGCAGATAGAGGAACCCAGACACTGGCTTGTTCCCCTGGTTTGCTTAACAGCAGCCTTCGTCACACAGGACTATAGTGGGCCGGCCCACCTGTGACAACGGACAAGTGAGGAAATGCCCCACAGACAGAATCTGAGGGAAACAGTTGCTTCACTGTAGACCCACACTGGGGATTGGAGGAGGGAAGATCAAAGAAGCGTTCATGGTCCTCCAGCGATGATTGAGACCTTGCTTCTCTCTCTGTCTCTCTTCTCTCTTAGCCTCCCAGAACCAAGTAAGTTAAAGCTAAAACTATTCACCAAGACGGTATTATGTTTCCAACTTGCCAAGCTCTTAGGTTTTGCTTATACAAAGTCTGGAAACCTAGTGAGCTGTGAAGGAACTAAGTTCAGAGGCCATTAAGGGCTGTGGCTGGCTATTTCCCTCCCTCTGCTCTTGCAGGAGCTTGGGTCATTTGTGGGACCTTCTTTTGAAATTGGGCTGTTGACCTAATTTGTGATGATCAAAAAAACCTGGCCAAATCATGTCATCCTCCTCCCCAACCCCCCTACCCCCAAAGTGTTAGTGAAAAGTTGTAACAACGTCAGGCATTTAACAACTTTGATAACCTCAGTCTAAGAAACACCCAGGCTCTCAAGTAGGCTGTTGAGAGGGCAGCAGTGCAGTTAATTTCGAGCATTTGTGTGCTAAATGCCATGTTGGCATAGTTGGAAAGCGTCATTCTGACGTCTGCAAACCCCCAGCTCCTCCGCCTTCGGGGCGATTTCCTAACAGTGTGAGTTGCGCGCACCAAGCCCACCCTCTGAACTGATGGGTCGATACGTGGCTAACAGGCTGTCAGTGGAAGGTGTCTGCCCCCAGGCAGAGCTGGGAAGCTGTGGTGCTGTGGCGTGGACTGTTTGCTGAGTTCCCGACTCTAATGAGGAAAGTGCCTGTTCCAATGGCTGTGAGGCGCCTGCCAGGTGTGTGTTAGTTTTTAACCCCAGCTCTTGGGAGGCAGAGGCAAGCAGATACCTGAGCTGCAGTCTAGCCTGGTCTACATGACTTCCAGGCCATCCAGGGCTACATAGTGAGACCCCACCTTAATGAAGCAAAACACTCCAAGCCTTCCACCCAAGTCTGGTAGATATTTCCAATATCTTGTCAGGAATGACTTCCTTCTGCTCCTCTGGAGACCCCCATGTCTTGCCTACTAGCCTAAGTTTATTGTTTTTCCTGTTATTTATTGTTAGACAGGCTGGCCTGAACCGAGGGTTTTCCCGTCCCCACCTCTAAGTGCTGGTATTACAGGTGTGTGCCATTTCCCCAAGTCTCTTCTTTCTTGTCAATCACAGATAAAAAAAATCATAGCTAGGTGGAGGTACACATCTTTAATCCCAGCACTCGGGAGGCAGAGGTAGGATGATCCATGTACATTAGAGGCCAGCCTGGTCTACAGAGTGAATTCCAAAACAGCCAGTACACAGAGAAACCCTGTCCCTGGCGGGGGGAGGAGGGGGGGAGGGGGAGGACAACAAAAATAAACCCCACAAAGAACTCAGTGGTAAGGGAACTTGCCTGGTATTCTGGAGACCCTAAATTTGAGACACCAGATTGTATTCTCAGTAGTATTTTACGAAAACAGTGAGTGTTATTCAGCTTTCAGTCCTTTACTCCTGAGCTCTATATCCCCATCCTGAAGTGCTGGGATTATAGGTGTGTGATCACCACACCTGGCTCAGCACAGGGTCCCTTAGCTGAGTTTGAAGCTACCAGTTTAAGCACAGTGGATTCGTCCCAGGCTCTGAATCGCTGTGGGGTCAGAACGTGGGCCAAAGGAACCAACTCGACCTTGGCTTAGTGCCACAACACAGAACTTGAAACCAGACCAGTGGCCACCAGAGGTTACTGACAAACTGTCCATAGTCCCAGGGTGGAAGGCCCACCAGCCCAAATGGCTGGCTGAATTATAGCCTTCGCAGCTGTCCTGTTTCAACACTGCTGGGCAGAATAATTGGAGTTTTTTGTTGATGTTGTTTTTAACCTTGCTGGCCATTAGAACAGTTGCTTGAGATACCCAAGTCCAATTTGGTGATGGTTTGCCTGGCAACTTTTATGGACCTTGATCTCTTTCTGCTGGCTGGCTATGATGTAAGCAGTTTTCTCTGCCACACAATCCCTTTCATTGTCATCCAGCCTTCCTACCAGAAGCCCCAAGCCAAAATAAACCCTTCCTAAGTTAATCATCGCGGCCATTTTGTAAGAGTGACAGCTGACATGCATTCCAAAAGCTTGATGAAACACTAAAACTCTGAGCTGCCTCTGTCTCCCCGGAATGAGGAGGTGCAGGGATTGGCTTCAGGCTCAGTTTACCAGCGGGTCCCAGTGGGCGGGAAGGTCACTGCCTGCGAGGAAAAGGTAGGCCTAGAGCTGTCTCTCTTCTGAGGAAGTGTCTGCTTTCCTGGCCCTGCTCTTTGCCCTGGAAGTAACAACTGCTCCCCTCACCCTCCCTCCAACACACACACACACACACACACCCCTCAGGGTTTCTGTTGTGGTAGTCATACTGGGAAATTTTGTTAGTTAAGGTCACAGCTGGTTTCAAGGTGCCTTACCCCCATGACCCCAACAATGCCCCGGTACAGGTTTGGTTGGGAGGTTCAAACTTGCTGGGGCACAATGCTTGCCAACCCCCACACTGGGAGATTGATAGGCAGGCATGGGGAGAACAAATCTCTAGAGACAGGACAGGGCCTCGAAGTTTCTTCTTGTGATATGTTCTAGAATTCTACCTAAAACAGAACAGGTTAACTTTGTTTTTACCCCACCTGAAGATAGCTCTAACTGGCCCGGGATTCTCTATGTAAACCAGGATGGCCTTGAACCCACAGAGATCCACTTGC